TTCAACACCCTCCAGCAACCCACGTCGCTGCTGGGCCCGGGATTAGGACCCACAGTCTGGCAGTGCTTATCTGCCCGTCTGAGTGATGGAGAGATGAGTATCAGTCTATACCTCAACTCCTTCGAGCCCGGCTGGGCTTTCTCCCTGGCGCCTTTGTCTGTCTCAGGGTTGGAGCAACGAAACTAAGAGATGTCCAGAGTTTAAAAACAGAGTAAAAGGGCAAATTTCATACATGAGAGCTCATCCTTGAATCTTAATTTTTAATAGTGAGTCGTGTCCCCCACGCCCAAAACGATCAAGCTCCAAATCACATCCAGCTGGAATAGAAGAAGGATGGACATTTATGACACTGTGTGCGTACGTCCTGTTTTGAGAGTTCACATCATGACAGGTGTGAGGGATGAGGGCACAGGGGCTGAGGAGTTGGCACGGGCTCGGCGGGCCTAAGCTAGGTGGGCCCATCCGCCTGGATCGTCCTCAGAACCCGGCAAGATTGGTTACTCACAAAGCAGGGCGCCCAGCCAACCCGCGCGGGCTCGGGCCTGGACGCCGGGACGCGAGACCAAAAATGCCCGCCCCGCCCCTAAAGGGCGCCCGCCGCGGAGAAACGCGGCCCGTTGCCAGCCGCGGCGATTTTCCCTGCTGCTAAGAAACCAGTCACTCGCTGCCCCTCCTCAGCCCCCAAAGACGGAGGGGCCGCCTTCCTGCTGGCCGCCTTGGGGCGTGGGATTCGGGCAGGTGCGGGGGCCCCCTGGGAACACAGAAAGAACACCGCGTCGGGAGAGCTGGGTGGCATGTGGGCCGCCCACTTGTTTGGCTCTTTTTCCTCATCTAGGGGTTATGCTTTCACCATGGGCCCCGGAAAGTTGGGGGCTCGCTCTGGCACGCCCACCCGCCCGCAGCCAGGTGCGGCTTCTCCCTCCCGCCTTCACCCAGCGGCTTGCGGCACAGGCCAGGACCCCTGGGTGCGGCACAGGGCGGACATCCCCGGGGCTCTGCTACTGCACGTCCGACTTCACTTCTGAATAGCGGGCATGGACCCCCTTCCCGGCGTCGCCTCCAGCATTCTGCCGGCTTTGGCCTCCCGACCCCACGGGCGGCGGGAACCACTGCGCAGCCTTCGGACCTCGGCCGCCAGCGCCCCGTTTCTTACCTTACCCGGCTGGCGCGGGGTCACAAAGCTAGCACCGACTAAATATTTCTGGAATGGGGACAAGCCTTCTGGTAGAGCAAAAGGCGGGGGTGCTGTGGCTGGAATCCCGCTTGCCTGTCATTTCGATAGAATTCGGGGTAGAGATTTACCAAAAGGCTTGATTCTTCTCCTGCCATTGCCTCTGAACCTACGTACTGAACACCCTAAGCCGAGATCCAGTGCTGGAACCAGAGGGAGAAGTCGGTCATTTGGCATCGCACTGCACAGCAATTCCCCTTGAAATAGTATCTCGAATTCGCTAATTTGGGGAAGTGGGAGGAATAAACAGAGGTAGCATAAACCTTCCACAGCCATAGTATTCAATATTTTTAAAAAGCCATTCCTTTATGAAAAATTAAGCCGACTTCCGCCAATAAACAAACTTTAAAAAAAAGTCATCTCTCAACTTCTTAAGGTTAAAAGTTAAAATTGGTAACTATATCCCCGAAGATGCAAACATTAAAACGCCTTGTTCATTTGGCACACGAATTATTTCTATTTGATTTTAGACAATTAAGCAAACCCACATTTCCTATTGTTTTAAATTCAGAGGATGTGCCATTTTCACAGTTTCTCTTTCTGAAATAATTCAAAGGCTACTTTTGCCCTCACTTGCTGACCAAAAAAAGAAGGGGGGAAAAAGTCAAAGCTCTTTATTATGTAGACATGTAGTTTTTGGAAGTGTAAAAATACTCCTCTTTCCCTGGGATAATTTGAATTCCTGGTCAACGAAATGCTGAATTTCAAAGAAAACCTTCCTTACCATTGGCACACCTTCCCTAAAATCCTACGGCTACCGTAAAAGAAAAAAGGATCCCGGGAACCTTTCTTAGCCAGTATGTGTTTCTTAGCCAGTATTTGTGAAGGAAAAAGTTTGACCAAGATTGGTCTGGGGGATGGGAAGCACTCAAAGAAGGCACTGGTCTTTTAATTACACTCTGGAAATAAACACGTAAAAGCAAGTTATTTTGTTTACTCGGAGGCTCAGTTACAATGTTTGCTGGACCTCCGAGGGCATTCAAGACGCTGCTGACAACGTCAAAACAGCAGCATCTTCCGTTAAATTTTTTGAAATGTGGACAAAACGGAGAAAGTAACCTTTGCTTGATTCTCCACGGCTACAGAAAACAAAACACAACAACAAAAAAAACCCGCTTCACTTTTTTTTTCTTTTTTCTTTTTTCTTTTTTTTACCTGTTTCACCACCGCAGAACCTTTAAAAGGAGTTACACCACCAAACCGGGATGGCTGGGACGTGAGGAGGAGGAGGACTAGGATAGTCTTTATTTTTTTATTGAATTAAAATGGCAGCATCGCCTCTTTAGTTTTTTATTGAGTTAAAATTATATTATCTCTCAGTGATATAAAAATTGGCTTCCGCACCCCGTTTCTTTTTTGGAGGGCAATAAAGAGTTTTCTCTAACCCCAGGGCAGGATTCTGGCGATTTCCGGGACTGGCGCTGCGCCGCTCCCACCGCGGCCGACAGGGGGCGCTGCGCACGGACCTGCCGCCGCTCACATCTGAGCCGGGTTCCAGCCCCGGCAGGCGCGGGCCGCTCGCGGGGTCGAGGACAGAGCTTTCGTCTTCGCGGATAAAAAGAGATTAAAGGCTAAATTCTTTTTTTGGTATATGTGTGTGTGCGTGTGCGCGCGCGCGCGCGCGTGGGGGGGTGTTGGTTATCAATTTTAACCAACTACGAAAATGTAGAGCTTTTTATCCTTTGATGTTCTCATAAAGAAACTCCTATCGGAGGAGAAATTACACTGTTTCTGAGCCGACACTGCGGCTATAGGGTGTGGGAAATTATTTAATTAAAAATATATTTTTCCATCTGTTCACATGATCTTTTTAGAAGTACTTAAAAAGCTGACACGGATCCCTTTGGCCTGTTAACCCTGACCCAAGTCTCAAATACCTTTAACTACATCGAAGGCCTTTTTATTAATTTGAAGGAGGAAAAAAAAAGGAGACCCAAATATTTAAATCACCCCTAAATATGACTCCTCTGCACTCCCCCGCCCCGCCCTTTCTTTAAACAGGGCCTTTTATGTGAGTGACACATTTCACACTTCCGAGACTGCAAAGCCAGGTATAAATGACAAGGAGCGGCTCTAAATAATAATAATAATAAAATCTAATTTGGGACTACGTAACACCCAAATACAGTATAAGAAAAAAATCTAAATAAAATTGTAATCCACCCGCCCCACCACCCAACTAAAAAAAAAAAAAAAAAAAACCCTTCACCTGTATTTAAATAGCGTGTCTTTAATTACAGCAGTTGGGGGTGCATGAGGCTGAAATGAAATTAGCAGTCATTACCAGTCCTTTAACTCTGTGGTGCTTTTGATCAGCACTAAATTAGCTTTCCAGTCCTAACAAAGGCCCTACAGCAAGCAGTGGGCTGTAAATAAGACAGCGTGACCTGCCCTCAACACCTTTTCTCTTGTCAATCATAGCTCTATGATTCAGCCCAAGATTAACCTTTATCTACCAAATGTAAAAAAAAGAAAAAAGAAGGAAAGAAAGAAGAAAAAGAAAAAAGAAAAAGAAGGCGGGAAGGAAAGCCCTGAGCACCGCGTGTCGCGGTAACAGAGGCTCCCAAGAGCCCCCTTAAAATTGTATTATAATGAGCCCGTGTCAGAATCTGCGATTTCTAAATCACCCCTTCCTACTCCACCCCCCCAAACCTCTCGAGTGTCTCCGAAGAGTCAGGATGCGGTTCAGGTAGGAGAGGAATCCCACCCCCTCCCCCGCCCGCAGCGGCTAATTGGGCGTGGACCACCCTCCATAAGTCAATTTGCCATCAGCCTGTCCTCCTCCATTAGTCTAACAAGATTTCGGGGGGGGGGGGGTGTCTGAGGAGGAAACATCGGTGAGTTTAAGACGGATACGTAAGTTCCTAGGCTGAAAACAATCCATTGACTCCACGCATCGTCTCTAGTTTCTAAGTCTGCGGAGGAAAAAACAACAACAACAACAACAAAAAAAACAGCAATAACAAAAACCCAGCTGCGTGTCCCAGCCCTGCAGCGCCGCGGGGAGACGCTGGGCCGAGCCGCCGTCAGAGGGCGCCCGCGAGCAAGCCCCGCCGCCGCGCGGCCCCGCAGCGCCTCCCCCTCCCCGCCGCGCCTCGCTCCTTCCCCAGGTAACGCTTCCCGCTCACCCCGCGCCCCCACATTTCTGCCCCCTCTATGCCAATCTCATAAAAAACGAGGTATCGCCATGTCTCCTTCCTCCTGTTTTGCGGACCTCCCCCGGCCCCTAACCACCACCAAAACGGTGAAGACGCAGATGGAAGTAGCAGCCCCTGAATGAGCTGGACCTCTGGGATCAGAGCCCTCTTCCCCTCCTAGCAACCTTGGTCTGGAAGAGGTTCTTTGTGGGAGTGACACGCCAGAGTGTAACATGTTTAAGATGGAAGCCTGCGTTTTTCATGAGTGGGTTTCCTTCTGGGGGCTCACGGATCTATGTCTTCATTTTCATAGAAAAAGCAGCACACCCTGGCAAGACCACTGATTATGTTCAGTATCAACACCGTCCAGAACAGAATAAAATCATGTCATCTCATTTCTGCATTCGTTAAAGAAATCTAAATGAGCATTTAATTCCAAAAGTGAACGCTTTCAGACATGAATCTGCCAGTGTTATATGACTGCCACACAGGGTGTACGTCCAGATCTCTTAAAGGTCAAAAGCGAAAAAAAAAAAAAAAAAAAAAGCCACAGAATGAGTGGGGAAGAAAGTGAGGTGTGGGGGAGGAGTGAGCTAGCAGTGGATGTCAAAGTTGGGTTGCAAGCTACTTACATGTCCATGCCAGATCAGGGTGTTGTCTTGTAGCAGTTTGATTGGCAGGTAAAAAAGCGAAAGAACGTGAGGGCTCCCTGAGCCTCTTGTCAGCCCAAGCTTGATCACTTCTCACCGGACAGAACGAGGTGAAGGAGCAGTTCCCCTCTCGTCCTTCATCCAAAGCACCGTGAATCCATTTCGGCTTTTCTTCCCCCCAGTCTTTCCATCAGCCTCCTGGCTTCACCCGCATCGCCTTACACCAGCCTCCAAGACCTAGCCTAGCTTTGCCACTGCAATCCCTGCAACAAGAAAAATCGTTTATGGCTTAAAACCCCAAATGGCTGATTTTTTAAAAGAGAGAGAGAGAGAGAGAGAGAGAGGGAGAGGGAGAGAGAGAAGAGAGGGTGAGGGGGAGAGAGAGGGGGAGCGAGAAGAATGCACCCAGAGAACAACAAAAAAGTCAGTTATCCTAACACTGCTCTGTCCCCCCACCGTACAGAAGAAGAATAAAAAAAAAAAAAAGCTTTATGTTTTTTCAGTGGGTATTCAAAGATAATTTGATGCCATTGTTTCTGCTACAGATGGTTCTTTTAAATACAATAACACGGCTCTTTGTGCAGGCTACCCACAATAAAAATCGAAAGCGTTCCCCTGAATAACCATTTTGTTCTCTCTTGTATGGGGCCAACAAAAGATGCCGTGAGGTAATGGGTTCTGTTTATTGAAGGCATAGAATAGGGGTTTGATAAAGATTTTTTTAAAGCAGAAGACCTTGCAAGGTCGGGCTGATCTCTTCATATTTTTTTATTAAAATATTTGTCCAATAGATTATTCCTTGGTGCAGCTGCAGGTTCCCTCCTCAATTCTTAATCAGCCCAAACATCTGTCTCTTTGAGGAGGCTTTTAAAAATCTACAATTGTATCATTGGTGCAGTAACCTTATCAAACCCTGAGTTTTTAGGCTCAGTACAGGCAAAGGCAATGAAGTTTCAATTCTATTTGGTCCTGATGGGGTGAGGCGGAGGGTTGGGGGAGAGGAGATAAGCAACCCCACAGATAGAGTGACTGAATAAAAAAAAATGAGGCTTTCCTCTCCCCCACTGCCTGGTTGGCCGTGTACAACTGTATGAGCCAGACGCACAGATCACTGAGGGCTTCTTTCATCCTGAGGTGTTTCTCCTCATCTCTGCAAGCCCCCGCCAGTATGCGCATGCTAGATGGGGCTAGGCATGTTTCCTGACCGTCCTTGCCCTCTCCTCCAGTAAGGTCTCCAATCCTGGAAAACCTAGGATGGAAGCCCAGTGGGAGGAGTGGAACAGGCTAAAGGTTAGTCTCCAGCGCCCAGAAGGTCCTACTCTTGGCTCTCTTTGATTCATCATTAGCTAGCTTTGACTCACTGACTGCAGCCACGCGAGGCACTGGTGGCCACAGCCCTCCTGTTACAGCACCCTACCCCTCATTGCTCTTACAGCCACTGGCTTCCTCCCTCTCAGCTCCACAGACAGCATCCGCCTCCTCTCACCGGGGAAGCCCTGCCACCTAGACCCCCAGGTCTGTATCCACTCAGAGAGCCTGAGCACTCGGCAGTGAGGGCGCTGCAGGGGACGGCGTTAGTGACTGAGTAGGTCTGTCCACCTTTCCATAGGAATTGATGCCAGGGCTCTCTGGGCCTCCAGTAGCCCAGAGCAGCAGTAATCCACTTTCGTGACTCCTGCTCTGTGTGTTGTCACTTGCGGCAAGACCACAGTGTGGAAAAATGGCTTTAATCTGAAAAACACGTTTCACTGGATTCTCTACCTCTGTCCTCACCCACTTCATTCCTCCCTTTCTTTTCATAAACCTTTTAAAAGATAAACACTCAAATGAATCCCTTGGCATAACTGATCTCAACTTCTACTTTCCCTTTGGGAAACAATTATGTTATTGGTTTGCAATTGGTCTGGAGTCATCTAATAAGGAATTTTCATGGACTATCACTTTGTCAACACCAAGTCAAGCCTTTCCCATGAAGCTTGAACACCAAAGACATCAAAACAGAAATTAAGTAATTTTTCACATGGTTGTTTCTCAAAAATTCATTTTGTATCTCAGGATAGAGTCCTATGTCAGAAAAGAATGAAATTCAAGACAATACTAAAAAAGTTATGCAGCTTCCAGTACTCTCTGGATCAAGAAAAATGTGTCTGTAAAAGTGTGAGTGCATTGGGGGTAGAAAAGAAATGAAGAGAGTAAATCAAGAGTGACTTTCAACAGAACAGGCTAAGGAGTGTGAATTTGTTACTTATGGTATTGTAGGAGAGGGTAGGGACATAATGCAAAATTCAATCAATACTAGAAACTTCTTCCAGCTCAAGGTGGAATGGAGGAGGAGGGCGAATGTAAAATGTTTTAGGCAGTCTTTTCATAAAAAAGTAAGCCACTGGAATAGCTGAACGATCTCTTCCTGCTTCTTGTGTCATATATATTTTTCGGATATCAAAACTTACAAAGGATGCACTAACTGAAAAAAAAGCCATTTTCTTTTTTACAACCACCTTTAAGAAGAATTTCAACTGCTGTCTTGTTTCCACTGAGGGGTTCTGGGCGGAATCTAAGAGTGTAAGATAGGAGTGCATCAGCGAGTAGCCCAAGGTGAGTCAAGGTGGGGAAACCTGTTATGTCTTATTACTTGGATCGATTCAATCTCAGACATAAGAAAGTTAAAAAATCCCTCAATTGACCTCGCTCTCCTGTGAGAGGTCAGGGAGACATAATTTTTTTAGGCAAGTCAGCAAAAGTTGTTTGAAAAACTGTAAAGCAATGACATTTCATCTGACAAAGGGGAAGAGTTTGCATTTAACTAAAAAATGTAGAATTCGTGAAGACGCAAGGTGCGGGGCCGAACCGACCCACTGTCTTGACGCATGAGGTGGTCAGGAACCAGCGGCCCACACCCGGAAAACTGCCTTTAAAAAACAAGCAGTGAACGCACAGGGACGCGTTCTGAATGCAGAGGGCAGACACCGAGGTGACCGGCCGGGCCCCCCTGTCTGGGGCAGACACACGTCGCGAGCCGACGCTGGTCCTCGAGGCTTTCTGACGGGCTGGGACATTTGCGGACGTTTCTGTACAGGTGGCTCTGAACGGCAGTTGTTCAAAAGCGCTCCGGAGCCGAAGCTGCACCCCCAGTGTTGCGAGCGCCCAACCGGGGAGGCGTGGAGGGTGGGGTTTTCCGCTCAGCCTCCGACTGGGGCGTCGGGGAACACCCGCCATCCCGCACAGACGGCCCGCACGGAGGCGGGAAGGAGAAAGGGGAAAGGGAGAGGCGGACGGAGGGGACGGGGGGGCGATGCGGGGCGGCCGGCGGCGGGAGGCCCAGCCCGAGGGCTCCGGGCGTTTCGGGGTCGCGAGCGCGGCTGGGGAGGAAATGCGGTACGCACGAGCGGGGTCCGGGGTCCCGGGGACCCGCGGCCGGACGCAGCGCTCGCAGAGGGCGGCGCGTCGCGCTTTGGGGTCCCCCGCGCCCTCCCGGCGCCTCCGCCCTCCGCACGTGGACAGACGCGGGCCCCGGCCTCGGCCTCCCGCGACGCGCGCGCTCCCGCCCCCTGCACGGGCGCCGACCGCGGAGAAAGCGCGGCTCCGGCGGGCGGTGTAGACACGCGGGGCTTCTTAGGGCACCCGGAGACGGCGCGCGTGTGACCGTTCACCTGGACACCCCGCCAGGACGCACTTCGGGGCGTCCAGGGGCCGCGGCATGGGGCTTCGAAGCGCCCCCGGGGGCTGCGGAGACCGGAGGACGCGCGCGGGGAGGGCGCACGGCGAGCGCAGCCTGGCGGGCCGGGCCCGGCTTCCGGGCGCCGCGGGCTCGGTGGGGGGCGGGGCGGCCGGGTCGCGCCCGGTGGGGGGAGCGGGGGCGCGGCCGGGGGGGAGGGGCTACCCGGCGCCCCCCGAACTGCGCCCCCGCGCGGCCGCGGCCCGCCCCGCGCGCCCCCGCGGGCTCGTGGGCTGCTCCGAGGCCCCAGCGCGGAAGCGAATCCGGAACCGCCCGTCCCGCCGGGCGCACAGGCGACCCCTGGTTCGCGGCCCGCACCCAGCGGGCGGATCGGCGAGCCCGGGAGAGCCTCCCCGGAGCGCTGGAGACGCGGGGTTCGGGGGAGCCCGCGTGGGGAGGGGTGCCTGCGCTCGCCCGCGCGCCCCTCGGACCCCGGGGCTCCATCTGCTCCCCGCCCCGGGCCTGGAGGAGGGGTCCCTACGCGCACACCTAGACGGAGAAGCGGGGCCTGAGCGCCTTCCAGCCCGTCGGATTCTTTTGTTATATACAGAATGAAGCGATACGTACGAGCGCGCTTTGTCTCCGTGTGTTAAAGTGTTAATTTTAACATGCTGAACGCTTAAAATAGGCCACAGATTTTGTGACCCTTCTTTTCAGTTTCTTAACGGTATATCCAGTGTTTGAACACGCGGAAATAACTCTGGTCTCTCACCTGTCTCGTATTTCTCTGGCATATCCTTACCAGGACCATGCTTTGAAAAGAGCCTCTTGCATCAATCCCAGTTAAATTAACTCGTTTTTTTTGGGGGGGGGTGGTGTGGGCAAAATGTTAATGTCATCTGTTGGACTTCAAGAACCGTGGAAACTATGGCCATTTTCCAAATGCACACCTTCTGCGTATTGTCATTACCACTACGTGGTTGGATGTGCTGGGTTTATAGTCTCTAAACCAACATTCACATGCGGCAACCCCATGAACGCAACTGTAGACTCAGTGCCATATCTGTACATAAAAGTTGGAAAAGACATCTCAAAGTGTAATGGTCATTTTTTTATTTCTCTAATTCGTATGCCCAACAATAGGCAGCTGGTTTGGGTGGCTTACTGATACATCCTTAAACAGAATACGCATTGTGGTGGATTTGGAGAGAAAAGGAGAATGCATTTCGGGTTTTGGCGGTGGCAAGGAATTAATGATCCAAGAAACTGATTCCAGGAATTTTTGTTCATACCTTCCCCTCCAGCTCCTCCTCCTAACACTCTCCCTTCACCCTTGAAGAAAGGGCGGCATTTCTATTTGCTTGCGAGTGAAAGAGGAAAGGAACTAATCTTTAATGAGTACCTATTATGTACCAGATACTTTCTCTTATTTACTTCTCATGATAATACTATAAAATTGGAATTATTATACTTCCCCTCACCCCAACAACCCTTCATTACAGACTAAAGGAAGATCCAGCTAGGTTAAATATCTGTGGTTTCACAGCTGGGATGTAGTAAATCTTGGTCTCGAATGTACCTCTGTAACTTTAAAACCCAGTTTGGTCGTTAGAATCTGGTAGACTGAGTCCCCACAGACTCAAGCAAGCATCATTGGTTGCTGACTCTTGTGGGTATGAGAGAAAAAATTATTGTGAACGAATTCGTTG